AAATAGTATAGAAAAAGCAGTGACACTTGTACGGTTTATCGCCCTCCGATTTGACAGCTTTACATACTGCCTTCAACTTAAAACAGAATACGGCCTAGAATATAATTTTTCATTTATAAGGACAGTAGCCAGGGGTGTGCGATAGACCTACCTCCACGTGGTGCACCCTGGGCAACGTATACTCATACGGCAAAAAAGTCTATTAACTGGCAGTTGACTTCTCACTTCAAACTACCATCACCTCACTCTATGCCATATTCGACTATTTCACAGTATTCACCTCACCTTTGTTCTACCTTTGTGTTTGTCTCTTGCATCTTTGAAACACTCATCTGTTTCCACCTCTCGACTTTTTTCGATTTTATGTTCCTCTTCCTCTGTGAAGTCTGAAGTCAACTAAAGGGCTAATGATAACCACCAAGACGCCTTCCATTTGATATAAATAAATAAGGACAATAGCCATCCCAGAAGTGAAGATCAGCTATTTAATATCATGGATACTCCTACTAGCAGCAGGGATCTCAAACCCGACATAATGAAATATACTAGAAACCAGTTGGAGGAGGGAAAATGAATTGAAATGGTAAGTAAAGATTTCGACTAAGGAACACATTACAATTACTGAACAAGCCACCCACTTTACCCTGTCCCATAAGCAGGTCAAGATGCACGAGTTGATCCACCTTTGCGCTTATAAACGCGATCCATTCCTCTTTCGTTAATGGATTACTCGTCAAAATTATGAGAAGTACTAAGCTATTAGGACAGCTCGAGTCTGTAAACCAAATACTTGGAGAGTGGGGCTTTATCACATTTAGGTGCTTGTGGTAAATAGCATGTACTAATAGCCTAAGCTAAAGCTCTTTAAACCGAGCACTCAAATCGTTAAGGCGTAAAAAGGCAAAATAACAGCAATGTATTAAAATTCGAAATATCCTAATGAAACGTATAGAAAATGCAAATCTTGGCCATGTACCTAGATAATCTCAAATAAATACTCAAAGGAAACAGATTTAACGATGGATGACATACGCAGTAAGAGAATCTGCTCTGTATCAAAATACAGATATCTGCTAATGAGTAATATGGGCATTTAATCAAAAGATAAGTGTAGCAAACTTACTCGCCGGGTTTAAATTCCTAATTGGTGTTTCCGTTGAGGCAGCTTCCAGTGAAAGACGCGTCAGCTTCGCAACTAAAAGTTAATTAATTATTAGATCATTGTTCTTTATTAGATGAGTGGAGAATTCAAAAATGTAAAAATCTTTCTGAATGATAAATTTTGAAAATAAAATTGTGTAGCTAGGTGTCACCCCATTGAGCAGATTGTGTCCCTCGGACTTCATCAAAATAAGACGGAACTTCACCACGATTAAAATCTAAATAGGGAAGAAAAATGAGCAAATGAGACGTTTGTTTTTCTTAATTTCGCAAAACAATACCAGGTAACGATTGCTGCTTGATAAAATGGTGACAATTACCATCGGCATCAATTATTGGAGTGTGCAAAGGAAAAGTTGCCTCTTCAAGCTAAAAGTGTTAAAAAACGTCTTGAATCGAATTCTTACTCCAATTGTTCTATTGCTGGCAGATGATTCATCTGCTAAAAGACTGTCGTCTGACGCCAAGTTATCCGACATACTCAGAGAACAGAGAAGGCGCAAATCCGCCCCTACGGCAATTCGCGTCTCGTTATAATAAATTTTAAAGGTCATAATATTTGAAACCAATAAATATATGAAGATATAAAAACATCTATATTTGTTGCAAGTTGTCTTACTTGGACTTATATTCTGCTATTTATGTCACGAAAAATGACTATCTATTATTACACTTAAATGAATTTGAGAATATATACCTGTATTTGCAATATGAGTAAGATATTTTCCGTCTTTACACATAACAGTTGTTGACTGCCTATTGAATTCAACGCAGTAAAGAAATCAATCTACCTTAATTGACAAACACATTTTATGCTTGGCAATAAATTAGTAGCCGCAACTGTTGGACGGATCAGAACTCAAGCAAACTCTATCAAAACACACAATACTTCAGCATCCAACACATGCTTTAGCACTTATTTGGTTACTTTCAACATACCCTGTACTTGCGAAATTTCCACTCATACCCTTTTGAGATAAGCATTTAAGTGCTTTGTCACATTAGAATATTACCCCAAGAAGCTCAGAAATAATTTCCATAAACAATGTAACCTGCTAACTGTAAATATTTTAAAATTATAATTTAGAAGTGCATAAAATAGTGACAAGATACCTAAAGCACGTTATAGATTAACTGCAATATCGAAATGTGACAAAAATGAGTAGAGTCAAATGAAATATCAGCATTAGTAATATGTTCGAAAAAGTTTCAAGAAAATATTACTTCAATTACATCCCTGTTCTTTATGCGAAATATTATTTATTTGAATACTTCTGGTTGTATCGTGTAAATATTAGTCAACGTACAGAGATTTAATTATTCGACACAATATAAAAGAACTAAAATCCCAACTTATTTACTTTTGATTTTTTGATTGAAATAAAACTCATTTTTCTTTTAAACAAAAATTCAACCTTATTACCATTTCAGACAAAAATATCGCTGTATTTACATTTTGACATATATCGTCAATGGCAAGAAGTAAAAAACTAAAGAGAGCTTCTGTTTTAATGTATTGCGAAGCTTTAAAAATAATGAAGAAAGGCTGTGTTCTCCAGTTGGGCATTCTCGAAAAGTTGCATCGAATGCCCTCCAAGATTAGAAGTTTTCCTGGGATACTTTTGATGAATGGGTGGCTCCAGTTGCATCATACCTCGACAAGTTCATCTTTGTATAAAAAGTGCGCAATTAAGCTCATAGTTTAGTTAGGAGAAACCACATTTCTCTATCTAGTTCATTCAAGCGGTTGATGAAATGATAAATAAAGAATATATTAGTAAAATATGATTATATTTGTTATGTTAAAATAAATTATAGGGAATGGGTTAGAGAAGAAATTAATAGACGCATTAGACGAAAAGGAATTTTTTTATTTCTGAACTAAAACAATTTGTTTGCTTCATCTTGCTTTTAATTGCTGTCTGAAATAAAACAGTTTCAAATAAATCTTAATAAACAGTATTCAGTTATGAAATCATCGTCATGCAAATTCTTTAAGCTCCAATAGTAATTTGTAGCCAGAGATTTATTAAGTACCAATATTTGTTTATTTCTTTCAATTTTATTCGTCCCGATCCCTTCGCACGCTTTGTAATTTGTGAAATGTGTTTAGTTTGTTCGCTTTATTGGTACCAAGGATGAGCCGTATATTAATGAGAGTTCGTAGTGCTGACAGCGAATCAAGCAAGAACGCAAATGTTATACGTCATTCCGGGAAAAAATCTTTAGCTGCTTCTCTTAAGAAAGCCGTAGGCGGTAGCTCACGTGTCCAAAACCGACGCGATATTACGCACGGTTTATGTCAAGGAAGTATCGAAGATAAATTGGAAAGTGGGAAAACACCCAAAGATGAAGTTAATACCGCCGCTAAGACTCATAGGAGGAATCTCTCTCTCCCCAAGTCCCTTGAAAATCTTCATATGCGCAAAAAATCTACGGTCTCTGAGTCTGGTTTTAAAACGCCAACACCCTGTGGCTTGGAAAATCTTGGCAACACAGTAAATAGATTTCTTTTATATTTGTTTCTTTTAAATTTATTTTGATATATTTCTCATTACAGTGCTACATTAATGCTATCATGCAATGCTTGCATTCGACCGAGCCGGTCCGCGAATTCTGTGAAAAATACGACGGTAGTCGTTCTAAATCACTTAAAAACGGCACTGATTTGGTTCCTGGTTTGTATCCATCTTTGTTATTCTTACATTAAAAATTTTCGAATTTTGATGAATTCCTTTTTTCTACAGCCTTCGTTTATTTGATAACCAAAATGAACTCGCTTAGTACAGGCAGTGTCAGTTCAAGTACTCTCCAAAGGTTCAAAAACGCCTTTGTAGCGCATGTCCCTAATTACAAGGGTAATCTGTGAGTGATTTCGTTTAAATTGACGGTTAAATCATCAATTGCGATTAGGTACCTTATATTGTATTTTTCTTCACTAGTCAGCAAGATGCCCTGGAGTTTTTCACCTATTTAGTAGACGGACTTCATGAAGGAATCAAAGAGGGTTCGCAAACAACGAGTTTTTCTGGTCCTCCAAATAACAATGGCACCTCATTCACTCCACCGCCAGCAATTCAAAGAGACACTCGATTGGAGCGTCGTTGTGGAGGTCTGAAGACGAACGAAATTAGTGGTCACTTGACGGGCGGGGATAGGGAAGCATCCTCGGGCAACTCCTCTGTATCTTCAACTCGATATTTCAAGAAAATCGTCCGAAAACTCTCGGATAAAGTCTTTCGTCCTCTTCGTTCTCACGGTTCCTACGATCTTCGTCACGATACTCATCAATCCGCTGTGTGCGTAACCTTTATTTGTGCACTTCATGTTAAAAATAAATGAGTGTCATATTTTATACACACTTTTCCTTTGTTTACAGGAGCTCAGCTGACGCGACTGCTTCTGAGAACAGCTTTCTAAAAGGTAAGTTATCAATTTATTCCATTTTATTTGTAATGTTGATGTAGGTATTTTGTTCATATCTTTCAATTGTCGGTTCAGTATATATTCTTGATCAATTTTTAATCAATTAATTTTCCTCTCCATATCTGATATTCAGTCATTAAGTGTCTTCGAAAGTGGAATGAGAATATACACCCTCGTCTTATAATTGCTCTTGATCTAGGGATTTAGAGTTCAAATCGGACATAACTTATTGGCAAACTTCGAAACATTTAAAATCTAACGTTCGTTAGGTGTAATTAGCTCATCTATTTTGTAGATGAATTTAATTTAATTTACCTGCAATTTTGCTAGGCCTCTTATTTTTTTAATGGCAGACACCTTCGTTGGTCATCTCCAGACTCGTTTGCGTTGTCTTCAATGCAACAACCTCACAACTCGTGACGAACTTTTCTGGAATCTCTCCCTTTGTGTCCCTGAAGTAAATGTTCGTGTTAATCTACTACTAAAAGTTTCATAAGTATTATCGTTGCTAAATGATCGTTCTCTCGTTTCAGTCATCTTCCGGCGAGAAAGAATCTAAAGATAAACGAGGGATTCTAAAAACTAATTCCTCATCCACTTCTGGTACATCTTCCTCTACAACGTCTGAGGTCACCTGTGTTAGTCTAGACGACTGCCTGAAGGCTTTCACGAAAGCTGAAATCCTAGACGATGCGGATAGACCGGTGATTTTTTTAAAATGACTACTCGCATTAATTTAATTCAAATTGAGTCTGACGTAATTCATTTGCCCCTCTAGACCTGCAAAAGATGCAAGACAAGGAATACAGCCGAACTTCAAGTAAAGATCTCAAAATTACCTAAAATCCTTGTATTACGTATGTTTCGATTGGTTAATATAACTAAAGTTAGTTGATGCCCTGTTTATCTAACACATGTATTGTTCCTATCAGAATTTCAACGTTTTGAGTCCTCCTGTTGCAAGACCAAGAAGCGGAACCTTATCAAATTCGGTTTTGAGCAGGATATGTCCCCATATTATGTGAACGGTGAGTTCGTATTCACAATTGTTTAATGATATTGACCCGATTTTAGCTGGAATATGTGGAAATTTGATTTGTTTTGGTGCTTGGTTGACCATTCGTCCTCCTTTTCTTTTACTAATTTTCCTCTCTGTTTTGTCATTCGCCTCTTGTCTTTGCCCTCCTCAGACTGTCACTTTCTTACTTGCAAGATGTAGGATGGAGTTTTTGCCTTTACTATTTATGAATTCTTTTACTCTATTCTTCAAGTAAATTTTTATCATAGTTACTGTTTAGGTGAAAGGTCAAGCTACTTCTTGAGTCCTTTGTGATTTGAGGTTGATTACCAGAACTCTGATCCGGCCCTCTTAAATTATGCTGAGTTATAATATGATTTCAAGCATTTAAAGCCCTTCTTACCTAATATTACAAACTATTCATTAGTTAAAATCAGGCTTTTAATAAGCATTTGAACCGATCAATTAACTCTTTGTCAAATATATATTTTGAATAGATATCAGAATCCAATTTCTATCTTCCATTATTTTTTAAGTACTCTCGTGTAGGATATTACTACAGTTAAGGAGTTTTTCAATAGCGAAAAAATACATTAGATTATTTATTTTCTTTGTTATGCTTGGTTGAATTTCATGGAAGGCCTAAATAATTTATGAAAGTAGGTCTTCAAGTAGTAGCATCGATATAGGCGTCAAAATGGATGGATAATTTTGCAATAGCTTTGGCTTCATGTTTGATATTTCTAGCACTAGTGAACTGAGAGCCCATTTGGTCCGCACTCAACCTTATGCTAAAATCTACCTCTGCTTCTGATTACAATTTCTAATGAATTATTTCTGTAGAGCAGTCACTGCTCTATGAGCTTTTGAACTTCAGAATTCCCTCTCATGTTTAAAGGCAGGCTGGTCTTATTTTTGAGTGTGAACTTGTTGACCCCTAGAAGATCTAATATTAAAAATAAGACAGATATTTTGCAAAAGTTAAGATGTTATCATGAATTGATCTTCAATTTCTTCTTCGATCTCACTCCGTGGAATTCATATTTCAGTTGAGGAGAAAATAAACCTATTATGTCCTCTACGGAATCATTCGCCTCTATTAAAACCATGAATAGTGGGACAAAAAACGGCTTTCAAATTGATACCACTGCCTACACCCTTCTCTGACATACATCCGCATTGGACATGCAATTGTTCGATTGACGTATACAAACGCTGAGGTATGTATTCTTGTTGGCCGATTCCTGTTTGCTGGGCTTTGTTGCTGCCAGCCTGTCCTACGCCCACTTACCAAGCGGTTCTGCTTTCACCTGCCAAAACCTCTGACTCATTTCCGCCACATATCTCTCTCTGGTTGTTTTCTCTTTTTTACCTTCGCGTTTTCCTTCTGGATCGCGCTAGTAGTTGTTCATTCGGTGGCGCTCTTCAACCTCTGTCTGCTTAATATAGCCATTGCTGATAATAGTAAGGAAGCTTCCACCATGATGCCTGCCTGTTTATTTAGACAGTGCGTTGATAATGCTCGGCTTTCTGAGTAGTGTGTGTAATACGGGAATTCAGTAATCGATAATCCACTTCAGGTGTACCCGAAATTATTTCATTCAGCTCTCTGTCGAATGCTGATTTTCCCTTTGCTCTTCTAACTTCCTGTTCATCCATATTGCTTTGCTTCGATGTTCTTTTTCACTTTATTAAAGCAGAGTTTACATTTACTGCATTTATTTTGCTTAACCAAACCGCATCGTGTTAGGAACTACCTACTAAGATCCAGATGGTCTCCTATAACGTACTGCTATTTTTGTCCATTTTGGGTAGATTACACAATGAGGAAGTTAACAGTTTTCACATCTTGCTTAAAGTATTTGGCATTTCTTTGGCATACAGGAAGGATCTCATTACTGCTTGTTTAGTTGTATTTTAGTTTCATTCCCTTTGTCTACTGTTATTTTCAGAATACTGGTTTGTTGACTTTGTATTTCTAATCATCAATGCAACCAGCTCCTCCTTCCTCCTCTCCCCTCTGTATCGGACTAATTAAAACTGGGCCTTATTAAATAACCACTGGCCATCAATTCACTTTCTGTTACTTTTGTAATTCGTTCTCTGACCCTGTCCCTGTTGAATTAAAAGTCATTCGCTTTTATTTTAAAATAGGTTCTGCGGATAAAAATACCGAAGTCCATAATTTGAGGCCTACTTCCATTCCCAAATGCTTCAGCTCCCCTGCCTTCCTTCATCCATCTGATGATGCTGAACTTCAAAAGAGCATGTCAGCAGCATCAATACCGGCTACGATACACAAACTGGATTTATCCGAGGCCACAGTGCCGACGAATTATCAATTATACGCTGTGGTGTACCATCAAGGTGGGACAGATCGTGGACACTACACCGCCAGATGTCGTCTTCCCTCAAACCCAGTGGACTCTGAACAGGCCTCTTGGTACTTCTTTGATGACGAAAAGTGAGTTGCTAAAATGGACTCTTATCAGTGTGCTTGTTTTGATCATTTTTATTAAACTAACGTCTAGGGAGTGTTTAAAAATATTTTGCCATCTGTTTGACGGCTTCCATATTTCCGACGAAAAAAATTCTGTCTTCAACTCCATCGATGCAGGACTTCCCACAGGACTAATGCGAGTTGTCTCACACAAATGTTGTTTGTAAGCGCTTCAATAAACTAGTGCTAATCATTGGTGATTGTCATCCCAAGTACTGGAGATGTGCATCTACGGTAGTTGTACTCGCTTAGTATCCTGAACTAGTTCCTGGCACGTTGAGCTGGCATCGGTCAAGGTACTATGTCTTTCCAATGGGTTGGAGGTAATTTTACAAGTATTTGAATATGGAAACAAAAGGCGAAGGCGGCAAGAGGAAGCAGGTAATGTAGTTAGGAAATCACCAGTCTGGACTTATTTGAATTGTTGAATTAATGAGTTGTCAAGGTTTTCAGAGGAATGAATATACTCAACTTCGTAATATTCAGAGTTCTAATTTCATGAATTAAGGCTGTCTGCGATCGAAGTTTATTGGCCGTCTCATGTATTTATTTATATCATAATATCTGAATAGTTATGCTATTTTTTCTTAGCTCTATGAAACTTTCGTATTTTTCTTCTAATGCATTTCCTAAATATTTAGGCCTTAGACTACGCCCAAAATGTTTCCCATTTGTTCCACAAATTAACAGCCTATTAAAGCTCTATTAGGTGTGATTTTTCCCAATCAGAACGTTACTTGTCCTTGCCTTTTCAACTGACAAACCTTTTTGTTACCATTTATCGCTAGTTATCCATTGGCTTTCATAACACAGCTTTTACCCCCATAATCTTAGACACAATAAGTGCTCGATATACATACATACATATAATTAAAATCTACTGTTGCGGTTAATAATCGCCAATCCAACGGGAGGCACGTTGTTTCAATTCCACTTGGAGCTCTAAAATCACACCGCAGTAATAAGGATCTCTATCTCAGTGTAGTTGGGGGGTGTGCGATAGACTTACCTCCACGTGGTGCACCCTGGGCAACGTATACTCATACGGCAAAAAAGTCTATTAACCGACAGTTGACTTCTCACTTCAAACTACCATCACCCCCACTTTATGTCATATTCCAACACTACACAGTACCCACCTCACCTTTTTTCTACCTTTTCTACCTTCGTCTTTGAAACACTCTTCTGTACCCCCCCCCTCTCGACTTTTTGTCACTTTGATGTTTTTCCTCCTCTCTGTGGAGACCGAAGTCAGCTCCAGAGCTAATGATAACTATCAAAACGCCTGCCATTTGA